GGGAGAGCGGGAGGATCAGAGCGCGCCGGCCCGGGCCGGGCCTCCCGAGCGGGCCGCCGCAGCGCCCTGGAAGCCACGGTGTGGGCCCTCACCCTGCCTTTGCAGTGCGCACGCCAGGCCCAACCGGTCGCCGTCCCGGGGCGGGGACTGCGGAGCCCCGCCTCCCTGCAGGCCGTGACTGGGGCCTGAGCCGGAACCCTGCGCGGTGCCGCAGCTGCGGGCGCCGCTTCAAAGAAGTTTGAAGGCCCAGGCATCCCAATACAGCTGCCATTTATTGAAAATCAGGTCGTAGGCGAGCGTGGGGTATATGCCTTTGTGTCATCTCGTGACTCTGCGCAGCGCCAGTGAGCGCCGGTAGGGTCAGCCCCACTTGGACAGAGGAGGGGACGGAGATCGGAGAGGCAGCTTGCCCCAGGCCTGGCAGGAGAAGGGGCCCAGACTCCATCGGGGCCCAGATCTCCGATTGTGCGTCTCAGGCTTTTACCCTCTGCAAACCTGGCTCCCGTGATAGTAGTCTCCTTTCAGTGGGCACAGCCGGCTGCCAGCTCTGTTATTCACCTTAGCTCACTGCTGCCTCATTACCAGCAGGAAGAGCCTCCTACCCAGAGGGAAGCCCCACTTCCCGCTCTGAAGGTGCCCGGCGCCCATGAGCTCTAGCCCAGGAGCCCGGACACCTTGTGCCAGGTGAACACCCACCTGTTACGTGGCGTCCTCTGCTCGGGCGATAGGAAAAGACATTCTCTGGGCAGATGAGGGTGTGAAAAAGTAGGTGATTTCAGGATGACTGGTTTGTTGGTCCAGGTCAACCATGGCGCAAGGCTGTGAAGTGTGGGTGAGAGCACCCCCGGATATTCACGCACACACACACACACACACACACACACACAGCCACAGACTCGGTGTTGAACAAACCAAAGCCCCGGTTCTGTCTAGGCTGCCTGCCTCTCCTCGCCACCCACTGCTCTCCGTGGGGGACTCTGAGGGGGCACTCTGGCTTTTCACGTGGCTTTCCAGGTATAGGAAAGCCGCGTGATGCTGGACGTGGGCAGCGGACAGGACAGGACACGGGGCCCGAGCCCAGGCCAACTCAAGGCCCCGCGCAGTGTGCCTGCAGCAATCCAGATTTTCCAGCCTCTAAATGTACCTCGGAAAGGAAGCTGCACATTTAATTTTTTTTCTTTTGGCTCCATATGAAAGAACAAAGCCTGGGAACTGGACAGGCCCCTCTGTAAACAGAAAACACATGTTTTCTAAGAGAATGGGCCCGTCCTTTCCTGATCTCTTCTCCCATGGACAAAGGCCTCTTTAGGCCTCTGGACTTTGGGAGCAGAAAGGCCTCAGACCCCGGGGGGCTGAGGGGAGGTGATTCTTAAATAGTGTTAATGGGTCCACCCAGCGGTGGGGTGGGCCTGGGAAATGGTCCCAGGCAGGAAGTCCCTCAGGGACCCAAACAGGGTTTAGGTAGGAAGAGAGAGAGTCTGGACCATTTGTGTTCTCCAAGCACGTGAGACTCCTCATGGGTTCTCCCCGAGCTAGCTTGGGATGAACACATATTTCTTGGGGCCTGCTAGCCACACACAGGGGCAGAGACCTCTCTTGACTCTGAAGAGAGGCCGGGCCCTTTACGTCTGCGAAGAGTATGCTGAGCCTGAGTGCCCACGGCTGTGTGACCTTGGGCAAGTTTCTTAGCCTCTGTGAGCTTTAGGTTTCACATCTGTAAAACGGGGATAACAATATTTGGTTGTTGAGGATTAAATAAGACAACAGGTATAGCCCTGTCAGACACATAGGAGCCAATTCATAAGTGAACAGAATCAAATGTGGTGTCGGTTTCAATGCTGGGCTATTTGCGTGGCCCCAGAACCCTCCACAAATATGTAAGATGCCTGTACTCCAAGGGCGTCTTCCCGTTCCCTTGTCCTCCGCTGGGCACTGGCTGAGCGCCACGTCTCGGCCACCTCCACACTGGCTGTGACACCTCTTTGGAAGCAGCCGCCTCCGGATGGATCGTTCCTCTGAATCCGAGAAGCAGCCTCATCTTTGTCCTCAAGGGGAGACTTGATTTGGGGAAATAACCAGACATCCTTTGGGCCAAGTCTGCCGAGGAGATGCACAGAAGCCAAGCCAGGGTTCCCTGTTGAGGGGCCAGAATGTGCCTTGACCGTGAAGTCAGGAGACCCTGTGACTCCAGGTTCCGAGAGCAGTTTGGAAGGAGAATCCAGACCTTCCGGACTACTAACCACCACGGACACGGGTGGGTGCCCAGTGCCAACGAGCACACGTGTGAGAAAACACAGAGATAGTCCCACACACCCAAGCCCAGGGGATGAGCCAAATCAAAGCCAGACTAATTAACGGGAGGCTGCCTTTCATCTCAGCCCACAATTCGATTTTCATGGAAATCTTGGTGGCAAAATTCCAAGTGTTTCTGATCTAGGCGAATGGAAGGATACAGGACTTAGGAGGTTGGGCGTCCCTCCCGGTTTTGTCCGTAACCAGCTATGTGGCTTACTGGCTGGTCACTCCCATCTCTGTAGTCCTTGGTTGTCCCATCTGAACAATGGGGCTCATGATTCCTGTCAACATGAGAAGCAAATGGGGATAAAAATGGATGCGAACGTGCCTAGAAGCCCTGACCTCGTGTGTCAAGGGCCTTGAAAACCGCTTCTGGGAAATGTATTTGCAGGAAACCAGCACAGCCACGCATACAAACGTCCACGGAAAGATGTTCCCAGGAGCATTATTTATATAAAGGAAAAAACTTTAAAGAGATTATATGTCTGACGACAGGGGCAAAAGTCATCACCCATCCAGTAGATGGACTATGCCCCAGCTCTCAGGGGTGCTCCAGGCAGGAAATACACAGGCCCCGCCCACATGGTGGGTGTATCTCAACCTGTGCCACTGGCATTGCTCACCAAAAATTTTTAAAAAGGGAGAGAGAGAGAGAGAGACAGAGACAGAGGCACCTGGGTGGCTCAGTTGGTTAAGGGTCCGGCTTCAGCTCAGGTCACGATGTCACAGTTTGTGGGTTTGAGCCGCAAGTTGGGTTCTGTGCTGGCAGCTCAGAGCCTGGAGCCTGCTTCGGATTCTGTGTCTCCCTCTCTCTCTCTGCCCCTCCCCTGTTCACGCTCTGTCTCTCTCTCAAAAATAAACCTTGAAAAAATAAATTTGCATCCGCAAAGCTCTATGCACAGCAGCCAAAGCATCAGAAACAACGCAATGGTCCGCCAACAGCTGACTGGGTTAAGAAGCTGTGATGGGAAGAAGAAGCCCAGGATGGGAATACTATGAAACAACAAAAGCTTGAGCTATTGGTAGACTCGGAGACACGGATGCCGGTCCATTATGCTGAGCAAGAGTTCATTCTCTGTGGGGCGGGCGCCTGGCTGGCTCAGCCGGAGGAGAATGCAACCCTTGATCTCGGCGTTGTGAGTTCAAGACCCCCATTGGATATAGAGATTACTTAAAATCTTAAAAAAAAAAAAAAAAAAAAAGAGTTCCTACTCTGTGATCCCATTTATATTAAATAAAGGTAAAATGAATCTACAATGATATGAATCAGATCTGTGGTTGCCCGGGGCTTGGGGGGCAGGGCTGCCGACAAGTTGAGACTAGGGGACATTTTGTGGTAATGGACTTTTCTCTCTTGACGGTGATGGTAGTGACATGGGCATACATACACTTGTCAGAGCTCACCGAATAGCATAAGTGGAAGAGACCTCACGGAATGGACATTAGACCTCAATAAAGTTAATTTCAAAATTCTTGGTGTTTATTTTCCAAATCCTATAGAGGTTACAATTTGGTGACACGAAATGCTTAGGACATATTGAACGAAACGGTTGTGAAATAATCTACAGTAGAATCCTACACACATATATGCAGCACGTATACATGGCTGGCTTGGAAAACACCAGAAGGACTTCCATCGAAATGTGCCTAGTAATTATCTCGTGGGTAATTTTTGTTTTCTTGTTTGGGGCTTTCCCGTATTTCCAAATTTTCTGCGTTTTTCTTTTCATAAACAAATAGCAAATATATCTCTTTTCCCTTTTTCCAGCGAGAGCAGGCCGGGGACGTGAGGCTGGGTCCCAGGACGGATGGTGAGGACACCCCCGGAGGGGTCCAGCGAAGGGGAGCTCCCTGGGAGGTGATCGCGGACGATGAGGGTGCGAGGGGTGGGGCCGTCCCCTGTCCCCAGTCCTTTGGCCGGGGTTGCAGTGCTGGGTTATTCACCGGCATCACTGATGGAGGGAGGAACGTTATCCTTGGCCCGGAAGCCAGACCCTTCCATTTGGAGTGCGGGGACCCGCGGCTCCTCTCCCGAATGCACGGGTCTCCTGTGCTGCCCCGAGCACGGGCGGGGGTGGGGGTTCTGGTCTCTCTGCTGCCCAGGCTGCTTGCTTTCCCCCCTGGAGGAAGTTGTCCTCGGTGAGAGTTGCGGGGACCGGGATGGGGGTGGAGGTGGCAGACCCCGCAGCGGATCTCCTGCCCTCCATGGCCCTGGGAGGCCGGGGCCGTTATTCACCGCCACCACTCTCTCCAACTTTGGGGAAGCTGAGGCAGAAGTGATTCACTGAAGTCACCCAGGCGGTGGAGCTCAGACTTGACCCCACGCCTGGATTCTCACACGATTCAAGCTTCATTTCCCGGGAGCTTCTGGGCCCCAACTGGCTCATCAATGCGGGGTGGGTTTGGGGACCCGGGGCTGAGTTTTCTCCCACGCGCGTTGTCTGCTCCGGGTTCTTGTGCGACTTCTTTTTTTTTTTTTAATTTTTTTTTTCAACGTTTATTTGTTTTTGGGACAGAGAGAGACAGAGCATGAACGGGGGAGGGTCAGAGAGACAGGGAGACACAGAATCGGAAACAGGCTCCAGGCTCTGAGCCATCAGCCCAGAGCCTGACACGGGGCTCGAACTCACGGACCGCGAGATCGTGACCTGGCTGAAGTCAGACGCTTAACCGACTGCGCCACCCAGGCACCCCTCTTGTGCGACTTCTAACGTAGGCACATTCGGTGGACCCGGCAGCTGAGCTTCGCAGCGGAACGTGAACTTCTCTGAGAGAACAGGGCTCTGCCTGCTCTTGGAGCCGCTGGGGCCCCGGCATCGCCCCGAACCTAAGGCCGCTTCCCTCCGGCCAGCTGGCCTCGCAAAGGTTCCGAGGAGGAGGCCCGACCGACTCGGTTTCTCTTCCCTTCCTCACTGAGCAGATTCTGTAACAGACTGTAGAAATGGAAAAATAAAAGCCTGAAACTGTTAAAAACAAAAACAAAAAGTGAGTGTGTGTGTGTGTGTGTGTGTGTGTGTGTGTGTTTAAACCAAGTCACAAATGGGAAAGAAGAGACAACAGCAAGTTAAGGACACTTGGTGACGTAGTGTTTCCCGCTCAGGTCACGATCCCGTGGTTCATGGGTTCAAGCCCCGTGTCGTGATCTGTGCTGACAGCACGGAACCTGCTTGGGATGCTCTCTCTCCCTCTCTCCGCCCTTTCCCCACGTGTGCACGCGCACACGCACGTGCCCTCTCGCTCTCTCTCAAGATACAGAGATTTTTATTTATTTTTATTTTTTATTTTTTATTTTTTTTGAAGATACATAGATTTTTAAATAAGTAAATGAAATTCGGTTGATGAGGTAAAAGAAAAAACGTTTAACAAACGTCATGTATTTATATGTCTATTTATAGAACTATAAAGAAAGAAGACGCAAAGAGAGTGGCCAAAGTCTTTGGAGTCCAGGGACCAGGATGGAAATTTTCTCCCTGTCCATCTTCCTTCCTTCCTTGTATGTTCCTTTTTTTTTTTTTTTTAATGTTTATTTATTTTTCAAGGAGAGAGAGACAGGGTGTGAGCAGGGGAGGGGCAGAGAGAGAGGGAGACGCAGAATCCCAAGCAGGCTCTGGGCTCTGAACTTGAACCCATGAGCCACAAAATCACGACCTGAGCCGAAGTCAGACACTTAACCGACGGAGCCACCCAGGTGCCCCCCCACCTTTTTTTTTTAAGTTTATTTATTTGTTTTGAGAGACATAGAGATAGCACAAGCAGGGGAGGGGCAGAAAGAGAGGGAGAGAGAGGGAATCCCAAGCAGGCTCCTTGCTGCCAGCCCAGAGCCCAACTCGGGGCTCCAACTCATGAACCCGTGAGATCATGAACTGAGAGGAAACCAAGAGTCAGACACTTAACCGACGGAGCCACCCAGCCCCCACCCCCGCCTCCACTTATGTTCCTTAAACTTTCTATAACACTTGTATTTTTTTAAGTATTCTCTACACCCAAAGTGGGGCTCGAACTTACAACCCCGAGATCGGGAGTCGCATGCCCTACCGACCAAGCCAACTGTAGGCGCCCCTACAGTTGAATGACTTTTAAAATAAGATGAGATAAACTTATATGAAAAGTAGGTAAAATACATCATATGAAAATACATTATATATAAAATACATTATATTAAAATGCATTATATTAAAAGCAGTCAGACTGTGCGTGAGCCTTCCCGTCAAACGGTAACCATGACAACCAAGGGTACTTTGGACTGAGTACCTGCTATGTGCCGGGTCCTCTGCGAACATCTCCCATCACCCTGTCTCCTCAGGACGCCCTGCAGGAGGGACCGGGCGCCCCCAGCCCGGGGAGCCGAGCCCCTGAGACAGCAAATGAGGCAGAGCTGAACGTGGACGCCTCTGACTCTCTTGGAGCTATACTCCTTCCATAACAGCTTCCTGCGTCTTCAGGGGGCACGTTTTTCCTAAATACAATGGTCGTGGATGAAAACATTTTTATCTCGTTTACATAGAATCTGGGATTATTTCTGTAAACAGAATTTAGTAAAAGAAATATAAAAGTCATAGTTTTTTTGGTTTTGTTTTTGGATTTTCTGTTTGTTGGTTTACTTTATGACACCGTTAACCAATGTCCAAACTAAGGACCAATGTCCAAACCAAGCTACGTAACTTCCTGGGCCCAGGGCCTCTTGTTCGCAAAGGATTAAGACTTTTTTTTTTTTTTTTTTTTTTTAGAAATTATTATTATTATCTTTTAATGTTTTATTTATTTTTGAGACAGGGAGAGACAGAGTATGAGCAGGGGAGGAGCAGAGAGAGAGGGAGACACAGAATCCGAAACAGGCTCCAGGCTCCGAGCTGTCAGCACAGAGCCCGACGCGGGGCTCGAACTCACAAACCGAGAGATCATGACCTGAGCCGAAGTGAGACGCTTAACCGACTGAGCCACGCAGGCGCCCTAAGGATTGAGAAGTTTACGACGAGGTCCACAGATCATTGATCATGCAGCACCTGCACAGGCCACGTGCCCATCGAGCCTCCCCCGACAAGGTCTTGACAGGATTTTGGTGGAGCCACAGTGACATCCGCTTTGGGGACAAACGGAGCACCAGTGACCGCGCATCAGAGAACAAATGGTTTCAAGCTTCGGGAAGAGGCGCAGGTCCCGAGACATTTTCCAGTCCTGAAAAGCCAAAGTGGCTGCAGCTGAGGAGAGGAGTCGCCAGGGAGGACGCCACGGGACAGAGCAGGTAGGTCTCCTTCCCCGCGCAAGGGTGGGGCCTCTGCACAAGGAGCTTTCACAGAAAGCAAGGGATCCCTACAGCATGTTCCTGTGAAATGTCACACCCTGACACGGAGTCTTGATAAAACTTCAATCGTGTCGCTGGAGTGTGTGTGGCTGACCAGCCGAGGTCTAGGGGAGAAGTGAGCGAAAGCCAAGGCTCACACTTGCTCCGGTAAAAACACAGTAAGAGGGGCGCCTGGGGGGGGGCTCAGGCGGTTAAGCCTCCAACTTCCACTCAGGTCATGATCTCCCGGTTCGTGGGTTCGAGCCCCACATGGGGCTCTGTGCGGACAGCCTGCTTCGGATCCTGTGTCTCCCTCTCTCCCCGCCCCTCCCCTGCTCGTGCTCTCCCTCTCTCAAAAATAAATACGCATTAAAAAAAACCTTAGAAACACAGCAAGAAACTCCATTCCACCTGCCGTGGCGAAGGGTCTTAGGCTTCGTTGGCAGGTGGATTTCCCTCCACCGCCCGCCCCCAGATGAGGCCCGTGGGCCCTGGGAACACACTGGAAGCCTATGTGTGTAGGTTGAGGAGGATTTCGCGGCTCAGAAGACGGGCTCCGCACGGCACTCCAGCCAGCCCCAAGCGCAACCCCCTTGCTCATTTTCTCTTTCAAAAACAAACACACAATCCACCCTGCTTCTCCCAGCGTTTCGGGCACTCTGGAGTAGCAGGCCTGGGACAGAGTCGTCTCTCCATAAACAGTCTTACAAGGAAAGATGGACAGACACATGGATAAACAGGGCAGCGCAGGGGCATCCCAGGGCTGATTGGTAGGTGGCTACTCTGTGCCCCCCAGCTCCTGTTCCAGTGCTCACGGGACCCCTGAAGGGACGGGGCTTGGGTGGTGCACAGGTTCCCAGACCTAGGGCTGCTCAGCTGCCTCCCCCAGCCCGGATGTGTCCCCAGGACGCTGCCCCGGGAAGGTTCCAAGCCAAGAGGGCAGAAAATGAAGAAGAGCAGCCCAGGGCTGCCGGGTGTGGTCAAGGCCTGGCACACGAAACATGTGCCCGAAGGGCAGGAACGGGGTCCTGCATTCACTGCAGATGCCGGCTGGGCCTCTCCGCGGTCCCCTCCCGGACACCGGGGCTCACCGGCTGTCCTTCCACTCTGAGGACAGAAACGTAGGGTAGCTGGCCGCAGAGGCTGACTCAAGCCCTTTGCTGGGGGGACCAGACAGACAGAGACCCAGGGGCTGCTGCTGCCCCGGGGACTCGGTGTTAGTGTCACTACCTTTCAGGAAGCATATGTTCTGCTCTCTTCGCCACCCCCTCCGCCCCCCAATTTGCCCAAGACACTTGGGAGTGGGTTATAAAACACACAGGTGCCCCAGGAGGGTGCCCAGCAAGGCTGAAGGAGACCCTCCAGAGGGGGAGGGGTGGTTGTTTACCAATTAAGAAAGAAACAACCCCAAAAAGCTCTGGGCGGAATTTCAAATTGTCGGATTTCTAAGTAGCCAGCACCCCCCCCCCCGCCCCCCTCCAGCGTATTTCTTTCTTTCCTCCCCTCTCCCGGCCTGCTTTCCCTCTTTGTTGCCAAGCTCAGACGTCGCTGCTGAAACCCAGCCCAGCGCCCGCGAAGCCCGGAAACTTCCAGCTCCGCGACCGGGCGGAAAGTTGGGGTCGCAAGGCCAGGGTGACAGCGGCGCCCCAAGGGCCGGGCGCGGCGGGGACCCGGGGCGCCGCCCGTCGCGGCCTCGCTCCGCCCGGCCGCGCCGGGACCTCGGACAGTCCAGGGGCCGGACGTGAACTTGACCGCGCGGGGCTCCCCGGGACGACCCGGTAAGCGCGCCCGCTCCCCCGCCCTCGCCCCACCCCGTGCGCCGCGGCCGGCCGGGGTCCGAGCGCGCGGCCCGGGCTTCGGGGCTTCGGGGCTTCGGGACTTCGGGGCTTCGGGGCTTCGGGGCTTCGGGGTGGGCGGCCCGGGGTGCAGGGGCCGGGTCTCGGGCCGGGAGGGGGCGCCGCGGCCGCCATGAGAGCGCACCGCCGAGCCCCGGCCCTCCAGCGCCCCGCGAAGTCTGCCCTCCCCGGCCTCCTCCCGAACAAAGCCTCGGAAGTTCGGGAGGGAATCTTCCCGACACGTTCCCTCCCGGGGGGCTGCTGCGTCTGGGCGGCGGCCATCCAGGCTCTTAAAGGGGAAACAAGACCACTCGGGCTCTCTCCTCTGTTTCTTGCACGCCCCCCCCCCACTTTGGCTGAGGGAAGCAGGGGGGACGGGGGGGTGCCACTGCACCTCTAAGGTGGTCGCTCTCTCGGGCAGGGGCCTGCCCGGGGGGCTCCACGCTCGGATTAGGGCCTGCCAAGAAGAGGGACCCCCCAACAGTTCAGGGAGAACCTGCCCCATCCGGGCCGCAGCAGGAGCGGTCCTGGGGGCTCTGGGGGGACACTGCTCCCGACCCACCCCACTTCCCCCCGGCAGCTTCTCTGCGGCCATGCCGGGGGGGGGGCCCTCCTGAGCAGGACGCACCCGGCCACAACGTCCCTGTCTGCTCTGCCTGGGGTGACTGTGCCAGGGCAGCCGGAATGCCAAGCCACCATGACACAACATGGCAGCCGTGGTCGGGGCCTGTGGAGGAGAGGGAGCCCCGGGCCTGTGGGACCTTGCCCGTGGGGAGCAAGGGCGGGGACACAGGTGCCTCCTTCGCCCGCTTTCCTTTGCCCACAGACCCAGGCCCAGCAGCCACTCCAGCCCATTTCTCCACACCTTTCCCCCTTTGCCTGAGACAGGCCTGTGAGTGTCCTGATCCCTGGAGGGGGGGGCACCTACGGGATAGGGAAGCCCCCCCCCCCCCACCGGGTTGCTGGCAGAACCTCGAAAGCTCCAGAGTTCTGCCTTGGGTCTGGGCCTGGATCTCTAAGATGCACTGAATGCCCCCCGACCGGAGCGGGGACTGCCTGCGTGGCCTTTCTCTAGACAGTGGCCAGGCTCCTGACCTTCTGGAGATCTCCATTCCCAGGGCTCCCGGAGCCCACGGTCCTCAGTGAGAGGCCCGCAGGGCAGTGGCTAGAGCACCCTTGCGGGAGCGAGGCCTGGGCCAGCTGGGGATTGGGCAGGTCACCACCCTCAGTGCCCCGGACATTCCAGCGGGGGCCTCCAAAGGGCAGCCTGCAGGGTTCAGGCAGGCCAGGTGGGGCCCAGTGGAGATTTTTCAGGGACCAAGGAACAGAGAACAGATCCCAGGCCTGCCAGCGGCTGCCAAGAGGGTAAAGGCCTAGGGTTCCAGAACTGCAGACTCTTTAGGAGAAGAAAACCCATACTTGTGCATGGAATGTCCAAACTTTGAAAATATCACAGGACAGAAGAAATATATCCTTGGGTTGAACCCAGCCTGTGGACCCCCACTGTGCAACCCCTTGGACACATGAGCTGGTTAGTGGTAAAAGGAGGCAGGTTTCCTAGTGACCCTAGTCCCAGCTCAAGCTCTGGCCAGGAAGCCCCATAGATCTGGGGAACAGGGAGGGGAGGTGATCTGCACCCCACTTGCCCCACGTCTCAGGGAAGTCGTGGCCTCCGCATACTGAGTGCTCCAGACAACTGAGGCTGACGTTGCCCCCTTGGGCCCACGTTTGCTTAACTGAACTGATTTGAAGTTAAAAATCTCGCTTTGAATCAGGTAACAGGACTGCCCCGCCCCCACGTCCTCGGAGGAGCCTCCGTGCCCTCTCAGCCTGTGCCCACAGAGCTCGCTGTGTAGGACGCAGAAAGCGAATCTGAACTTGAACTTTCTTCCTGTCCCAAGCAGTACAGTCAACCTCCAGGTACGAAAACCTGGGCCTGTTGCTGCACAGCGGGCGGGCCGCAGAGAGGCGGGGCTGTGCCTCCAGCCCGGGGGCCCTGGGAGACTGACCTCGCTCGTCTCCCGGCATCCTCAACTTCCTCACTCATAAAATGGGCTCAGTACTGGCTCTGACTCAGTGGGATCTTGGGGAGGATGGCGATACCCGCGTGCACACTTAGCGTGGTACCAGCACACAGTAGGCACTCAGTATGCGTTCACTGCTCTGTCGGACTGCCGTCCGGGTAGACCCTGCCGCTGGCTCCCCTCACAAACCCACCTGCTTCTGGGGCCGCTCAGGACTCTGTCTCGCCATTTCATGTCAACCCTCAATTGCTTGCCTCTCCCCGCTTCCTTTGTTTCTTTTCTTATCCTCAAAGAAAGCATCGCTGAGCCTCTCCCCTGTGTCGACAGCCCTGTGCTGAGCACTGGGGATCGAGAGGTGAGTCTCATACACACGGTACCTTGAGAAGCTGCTGGAGGCTCTGTGCAGCTATGACACCGGGGTGAGGTCTCTGGGCTAATTTCCCATCCAGAGAGGGTGTTTCCTGCACAGTGCTCCTGCTGGCAGCCGTGCAGTCTTTGTTGAATGCCTCCAGAGACGAGCAGCTCACCACTTCCCCGGTGGTGTGTCTGCGGCAGCCTCGTCGGTATCCCCGAAACTTGACTGTTCGGACTGGGTGTAGACAGGACTACAGCAGTGGCTCTGGGTCTGAGGCGCCTGGTTTTACAGGGGGGAGGGGGATACACACACCTGGTAAGAGGGTCCTAAAAAGTGGGTGAGGTGCTCGTCTTAGAAGGGACGGATGCGTGTTGTTACAAAACAGAGCCCCGTTTCCCGCTTTTGCCGGTAGCCTCTGTAGCAAGGAGAAGAAGACGACAGGGCTCTCTGAGCGGGACATTAACCAAACATAGTACAAAAAGCTGGTCGCTGCACTAAGGAAGCCGGGGAGCCAAGCGGAGGCGTCCAGAGGCCTCGGGTTGCCCGCTGGGACTCCGGCTGCACAATCTGCAGAGCTCAGTATGAAGGGAACGAGTGCGGCCCTTGTTCAGAATGATCAAGAATTTCAAGATGGTGACAGCAGGGCATTAAACGAAGGGTGGGCCCTTCTGAGCACAGGGCCTTCCCTTTGTGACAGGTCACCAACTCGTGAGGCCGGCAGCGCTCCTTGAACGCGCTCCCGCCGCGAGCGGAGGCCGGAGAGGACCCCCAGGCGGTCCCTCCAAGGAGCGTGACTCCTCTCCTGCATTGCCTCTTCCTTCCATCACTGAGGTTACATGCTAATTCTAGAGCATTTTGAATCCTCACCAAAGAAGAAAAATATTTTCAATCACCTGGAAAACCCCGCTCTCGGAAATAGCCAGTGGGAGCGCCTTCGGCAGCTTCCAACTTCCACAATTTGAAACAGAATTAGCATTTTAGCTTCTTCTGGTAATATGTATCATTTTATCTCCTGCTTGTTTCACTAAATATTTTATCACCGCCCCATTCCCAAGTCAGAAGATCTCATTCTTGCACCGGTTGATTGTTAATGACTAATATTGTTATTGGATGCCGGCTATTTCCTGTTCTCTCTGGTATAAACAGCACTTTGAGGAATGCCTGTGTGCACATTTCTGCCGATTTCCTAGGAGAGCAAAGGCTCTTAGGTCCCAGAAGTCTCTTGGGGGGGGGGGGGGTCTCTGAAGTGCCTCCTTGGCCACGGTCTCTGGATGAGGACCCTGGGCCCAGGGAGCAGAGGCCCCGGCCCCAGAACTTCCTGCCTGGCCTATCGTGAGGACAGATTAATGATAATGAGGCGGAAGATGGCCCCTTATCCCACCGAACTGTGGACCGGGTTTCGGGGTCTGGGCTGCCTCGGTCACTAAGCCCGCCAGGCTGTGGATGCAATAAAATAAGGCTTAGCGGGGTGCCCTCTCTTGGGCAACACGCGGACACGGTGGCGTGGAAAAGCAGGAAGAAGGGGAGGAGGAGGGGCGTGGGGAGGAAAAGCAGAAGCCGGGAGGTGAGGTGAGAGCCCCCTTAGGAGAGGAGGGCTCTGCGGGGCATCTGGTCGCTTGGCCGAAGACTCCAGAGGGCAAGATGAGGTCTGCCAACCGCAGCCCAGCACGGCCCGCCACCGATGCGCAGCGGACGTTGTGTGTGTGGCGTGGATACGGAGGCGGGCTGCACCCGCAGCCTCGCTCAGAGGCGTCTGGACATGTGGGGGAGGAAGGGAGGTGGCGTATGAGTTTCCTATTGCTGCAGTAACAAAGGTCACTGATTTAGTGGCCTCCACCAAGGCAAGCTCATTATTGTGCAGCTGTGGAGGCTGGGAGTCCGCAATGACTCACGGGGCTAAAACCAAGGTGCTGGCAGGCTCGGTTCCTTCTGGAGCACCCCCCCCCCCCCCCCCCCCCCGGGGGGAGAAACCTTGCCTCGGCCTTTTCTAGCCTTGAGAGGTGCCCACATTCCTTGGCTTCTGGCCCTTCCTCCATCTCCAGGGAGAGACTGCACCCCTCCTTCTCTGATCACCGTCGGGCCAGGGGCTCCATGT